TATTGTTTCATTGTAAGAAAAGTAACTAAATTCTTTTAAAAATAAAAGATATAATATCCTTTTACGCAGTACTTTAACGTCGTATATTTTAATATGTGCATTTAAAGATACGAGTGAACTTAGTGAGTTGGACTTGTTAGAATGTCGATTGCAATGCATCTCCCCAAATCGACGTTTCTACTCCAAAGAAAGCGAAGGTAGACGAGGAGGAACAAAATGTGGAAGCAATGCAAATACACAAGAGAAAAGACTTTTGGTTTTGGGAACATGGGAACACGTATGTCGTTTTATTTTATGATAGAGCACATGTTCGTTATTAATCTTAAGTATAGAGTACAGGTGTTCGTTATTAATTTTAAGTGATAGGATACATGTTTTCGTTATTAATTTTATGATAGAGTACATGTGTTCGTTATTAATTTTAAGTGATAGAGTACATGTGTTCGTTATTAATTTTAAGTGATAGAGTACATGTTTTCGTTATTAATTTTAAGTGATAGAGTACAGGTGTTCGCTATTAATTTTAAGTGATAGAGTACATGTGTTCGTTATTAATTTTAAGTGATAGAGCATGTGTTCGTTATTAATCTTAAGTGATAGAGTACAGGTGTTCGTTATTAATTTTAAGTGATAGAGTATACGTTTTCGTTATTAATTTTGGGTGATAGAGTACATGTGTTCGTTATTAATTTTATGATAGAGTACAGGTGTTCGTTATTAATTTTATGATAGAGTTATGTTTTCGTTATTAATTTTAAGTGATAGAGCATGTGTTCGTTATTAATTTTAAGTGATAGAGTACATAAATTGCTATTAATTTTATGATAGAGTATATATTTCGTTATTAATTTTAAGTGATAGAGTACAGGTGTTCGTTATTAATCTTTTAAGTGATAGAGCACCAGGTGTTCGTTACACCTTAAGTGATAGAGCATGTTTTCTCGTTATTAATTTTAAGTGATAGAGTACATGTTTCTCGCTATTAATTTTGCGATAGAGTACATGTGTTCGTTAATTTTAAGATAGAGTACATGTGTTCGTTATTAATCTTTTTGCTTATTGTGATACATGTTCGTTTACACCTTTATGATAGATACATGTTTTCGTTATTAATTCATGATAGAGTACATGCGTTCGTTATTAATTTTAAGTGATAGAGTACATGTTTCGTTATTAATTTTATGATATACATGTGTTCGTTATTAATTTCATGATATACATGTGTCTGCTACAATTTTATGATAGATACATGTGTTCGTTATTAATTTTAAGGATAGATACATGTTTCGTTATTGAATTTTAAGTGATAGAGTACATGTGTTCGTTATTAATCTTATGATAGAGTACATGTGTTCGTTATTTAATTTTATGATAGAGTATGTGTTCGTTATTAATTTTAAGGATAGAGTACATGTTCGTTATTAATTTTGGTGATAGATACATGTGTTCGTTATTAATTTTAAGTGATAGAGTACATGTGTTCGTTAATTTTAAGTGATAGAGTACATGTTTCGTTATTAATTTTAAGTGATAGAGCACATGTGTTCGTTATTAATTTTAAGTGATAGAGTACATGTGTTCGTTATTAATTTTAAGTGATAGAGTACATGTGTTCGTTATTAATTTTAAGTGATAGAGTACATGGGTTCGTTATTAATTTTATGATAGAGTACATGTTTTCGTTATTAATTTTAAGCATATACATGTTCGTTATTAATTTTAAGTGATAGAAAACATGTGTTCGTTATTAATTTTAATGATAGAGTACATGTGTTTGTTATTAATTTTAAGTGATACAGCAACATGTGTTTGTTATTACTTTAAGTGATAGAGCATAAAATTGTTATTAATTTTATGATAGAGTACATGTGTTCTGTTAATATTTTATGATAGAGTACATGTTCAAGTTATTTTAAGTGATAGAGTACATGTGTTCGTTATTAATTTTAAGTGATAGAGTACATGTGTTCATATTAATTTTATGATAGAGCACATGTTTTCGTTAGTTAATTTTAAGTGATAGAGTACATGTGTTTGTTATTAATTTTAAGTGATAGAGTACATGTGTTTGTTATTAATTTTAAGTGATAGAGTACAGGTGTTCGTTATTAATTTTATGATAGAGTACATGTGTTCTTTATTAATTTTAAGTGATAGGAGTACATGTTTTCGTTATTAATTTGAGGCTAGAGTACATGTGATTTATATTAATTTTGAGTGCAATATTAAATTTTTCTGATTTGTTTGTGGTGAGTTATTTTTAAATTTGTGAGCAATATGAATGTGTTTACTTCACAATAATATGTTATAAACGCCTTAGATTTTTATCTGTTTGTTATTCGAGATGCAATTGTAGGGTTACTACAGTCATTAGTATTTTCTATTTAGAGAATACTTATAAAGAAAATGAAAACAGAAAACAATATCCAAATCAGTATTCTCTATATAGGGAATACTAATGAGACTTAAAGAATACTAATGAGTTGCTATCCATTGTTTCCTCCATCTGTGCAGCATTTTCTAGAGCCTTAAAGAAGTCATACCAATTCATGATTTGTAGACACTATGAGATATAGAACATCAAACTACAGGATGCTGATTGACGAGGGTTTTGGCCATGTTGTAAAATAATGATAAACAATTTTCATTTTTGATTGGCTCTTCATGTTCATGTCTTCTTCAAAGATACATAATTAACTTTAATGTTTTGAACAAAAGAAATACTTTGTATTAAAACTTTTTACGTCCGTTTCAAACATCGAACCTTGCATGTGCTGAATGCATTTAAAACAAATGATAATGAGGAATTTTACATTATTTTCTTTGTCTTTGCACGTGTAAAGTTCTACATTTATAATAAGGCTCCGTTTACACTATACCGAAATGCTATCGTTACAGGTTGAATTTTCTATGTATTAATATCATTGATATCGTTCAATGTCAAAAAACAAAATTAAATTGACTAAATCTACTAACTTAATAAGCATTTACTCCAAACTGTTACAACTTTAAACAAATGAAGACGTCGCGATGAGCAAATCCTGTATATAATGCAAACACAGCCTAAGCCTCAAATTTTGCAAGTTAAACCTCAATGTAACATGATTATTCAATATACAATGATGGCTCTAGGGGAGAAGAGAGGAAGGGGCAGATTAACCTCCTCCTCCTAAATTTCTTATTTTGTCCTTAGTTATCTCCCTTTTGTACAGTAAGCAAAAAACTTAAAGATTTTAAAATTTTGAATTAAAGAAGCCCTTGTAAACACAATCACCATAAATTAATGTCAATATTTACTGTATATAGTTTATCTATATTTAAAATAAATTACCACCGCATCACATTACTATCATATATGTTATAACATATTAATAATATTGTCACTAATACTGAAGGTGACATCACGTGATGCTGAAACATGTTTAATTTGAAAACTCCAATGTTTATCTAAGCAGTTTACTAATCAGTAAAAATTAAAATGAGATATGATTCGCACTTAGCTGGACAATTTAAGCATCGTCTCTGTGACCTGAAAAATCAGGTGACTCAACGGGATTCGAACCCATGACCTCTGCGTGTGCCGGTGCAGGCTCTGACCACTGAGCTTGGGCGAATACAGTGGTGAGCAGGTCAATATTGTTGGGCCATGTTTTCTCGTGAATGACATATGTGAATACGTAGTATGGTGTTTTGAATTAAAATGATATGATCTATATCTCATTTAGATCATATCTCATTTAATTTCAAACACCGCACTGGCATAAAACATTCACAATCAGTAAAAGGTAACAAAATGTACGCATGTAAATCTTATTTATTAGACGCCCCAAACTTAGAACTAGAAAAATCTGTGGAGTGTTTAAAGCACAAGATCTTTAAAATCATTAGTAAAATGTTTCTTCAGAATAGTGACCAGTGATATACTAGGCGGAAAGCAAATTCTTATTATAAATATAAAGCCCAAGGATAAGTGGAATTCACAAGAAAACTCCATGTCTGTATATTTTGTGATTGTGTGTGTTTTGTTTCTTTCTGTGATTTACATTTTACTTCATACCATCTTATCCCACTTTTATTTTCATCTTTTTCATCCAACCATGTAATTTAAGATTATGTAAATAGCTATTATATATATAAATACCTTTATACTTGTAATTCAATACTGTCTGATGATGTCTTGAGAATTAAGACCAAACGTTACGCTACTAAATAAATATTCCTTTTTATACGTCATTTTTGTGTTGAATGGCTCTTTTAAAAGCACTTTGCTGAGCTTTAGTATTCATAATAAGTAAAATGTTTATTGTTATGTTTACAATTGTCAAAATTGAAACTGTACATTTAACGTTGTATCAACCCCAACATCATGATGATAAATTTTATTTTAACCATTGAAGACAGAAAGTGAGAATTAATATTTTTCAATAACAAGAAAAATATTATCCAAAAATTTAATTCCTCAATTGAAATGAACTTATGTCAAAAACATAAAAGTTTTATTTATTTTCTCACAGTTATTGACATGACATCATGATGATGTTTTTACATACGGGAATTGTTGACAGCATATAACATTTTCTGTCTTTAAGTTCATTCGTACATAATATACGAACAAAAATGATCTCTCACATTTTTCAACTGACCATAAAACTCGAGAGCTATGATCTATAAGAGCACAGACACACGGAATTGAGGTCACAGAAAATTCCTTGTTTTTAAATGACAAACGAATGGAGAATTTATTTGAATATTTACCTGAATATATCTCTGAATGGGCAAATAAAGAAATTAAAAATGCCCAGTTGAAGTATTGGACGCATTTGAGCAAAAAGAAAAGAAAAAACCCGGTTTTCAAACATTGATTTGCCCGGCGGCTCGTGGCCACTCAGTTTTTATCACAATGACGTCATACCCGTGTATCTATAACTGTATAGACAACTGTTATTAATCGTTTGTTATCAATTTGTTAAATAAAAATAACCAAATTATCTAACCATACATTTTTATTAAAAAGTAAATCATCAACATGAAATTTATTCAGAGATACAATACATAATAATAAGTTTGACAGAGCATCTTACAGTAGTAGTCAAATCTAGAGGATGCCCTGTTTAAATGACAATTCATTTATGAAGACTACAAGTAGAATCTTAGAAAGGAATAAACAAATATTCATGATCAATTAGTATAGACGCGCTCTTTTTAAATACAAGTCATTTGTGTTATAAAAAGCAATTATACATCGTTTCAGATTATTGCAAAACATAGATAATATTTTACATTCTTTAATAGCAGGAGGTAAGATATTCCAAGAAATAGTACCGATAAATTTAAAAAAACTTTTGCAAAATTGGTCCAAATTCATTTTTGGTAAATAGAGATAATTTCTTAAAGATTGCCTGGTAGAATAAGTATACTTCTTCTGTAGAAAACTATAGTAGGTGGAAACAAGCAATCATCCTTACGACCATCAACATCTATGTACAATTTTCTCAAAAGGTTTTTGAATTTACTGTTAAAGTTTGAGTTGATGTATTTATTCAGGAACATTAAGTTTTAAAAATTGAATACTGCAATGTAAAATGTCAACAATAGCAAAAGTTCCTGTATTGGAATGCATAATTATACGAGACAATTCATAACGTATTTCGTCAAATTCAGCGCACTTTTCGCCACTCTTTAAATCTACAGCAAGCAATGACCCCAAAGACACTCCAATGCAATACGATTTGTGTACAAATAGGTCGGAGCCCAAATAAAATTTACCAACATAATGCAAATTCTCATTCACATCACCACTCTCGTGAACATTAATTACATAAATGTTCATAATTTCGTTGTCTTTGCAAAATGCTATGACTGCTTGTTTACTATCACTTATACAGCAAGTGAACTCTAGATCATTTAAAGTTATCTGTTCTAGAAGAAAATCTTCAAAGACAGCTGTTATGGGTATTTCTGCAGTATGCCAAGGTTTCAAGTAAAGTTCATTGTTGTTATTTTCCCATTTCCATATTGTGTATTCTGTTTTGTTTACAGTTAAAATAACAGAATTATCAGGTGATACAGCTGCTGCTTTAACTTTTGAACTATTGACAGGAAGTCTTTTGTTGTATTGTATCTCGCCCTTGGTAATTCTAACAACTTGAACAAAATCTAGTTCGTCAATACAAACTAAGACATCAGCAAATGTTAAGATTTCTTTAGGTTTAAATCCAATGTTAACATACTTTGCTTGAGTGGAATGTACAAAATTTTCAGACGAAGTTGATATCTTCATAAGATGATCAGAACCATCCCATATCCACAGTAAACCATCTGACCACCAACATCCTAATGCATTCTTCAGTTGCATTGGTACAGTTTGAATAATAGTGCAACGTTCAATGCTCCAAATATGAATGTTGACGTCGTCACCAACAGCGAAAGCAGCCAAAAAAGATCCATCCGGTGAAAAACAACAACATTTAATTTTAAATTTCTCAAAGATAAATGAAGGTCTCCAAAGATGATCAGTTTTGAAAATTTTAAGCTTGGAAAAATACGGCACAACGTAAAATTCCTTAAACGAGATGGGAAGGACTTTTTTCAGATTCCTATAAACACATGGACACCTAACATCTGGTAAACCAAACTCGACTTCTCCTTGATCGTTGTATTTTTTCAACAGAGTGATTTCAGAAAGCCTTCCATTCTGGCTTCTATGATAAAAAATACAATCACGATAATTGTGTGTTATCATTGGATATGAAGGTAGTGTATCGTAATTTTCTCTTGAAAAAATATCGATCGCCTTTGGGAATTGAAAGACATGGGAAGTCTCGACGAATTCTGCAACAAGGAACTCTGAATATTTATCGGTGCTTTGTAGTTTTTGGTAATCAGCAACGCAGCGTCCATCGATTCTTTGCAAATTTAATAAATTCCATGCGGTGAACACATCTTCAGAATGAAATCCATCATATCTCGCTGTAATAAACAAACCAGAATCTGAGAAAGAGCAACGATTAACGACATCATCTGACTGTAAACATAATAAGAAACGTCCATTGTTAACGTCCCACAACTTTACTTCAGTAGATGTATCACTAGTTACCAGTCTATTACCGGTAGGTGAAAAGGAGCAACAGCAGATGTTTCCACGTAAAAAACGAAATTCGCTTGATGTTGAATAGTCATAGATGTTATACAGGGACATAAATGTGTTTTCATCATCCCACTTATCCAACCTTGAATCATCGAGTGCAGTACCTAGAGTACATCTTTCTGTAAATTCAGGAAGCTCAGAAATAGATATTTGACCATTTTCATATCCTACAGCAAGAAGTTCTTCATTTGACGACACACAAAGTGATGTAACGTTAGCACGCAAGGAGACAGTCAAATGATGATGGTTTGTTAAATATGTTGAGTCTAAATCCTCAAACCAAACAAGCTTTCCTTGTTTCAATAAATCCCTTGCCAATAATCTTTTTTCGTTACTGCAATCAATTCTGTTTGCAATAATTTGTAAATAAAAGAAGTTTTTATGAAACTTTCGCAACCCATATTTATGTGTCGTAAGCAAATAAATTAGTGCTTCTTCAAGTACATCTTTTTTCAAGAAAGTACGTCGTTTCTTAATGATTTCAAACAATTCTGACCTAATGGTATCCCTGTTAATATCTTCCACAACCATTAACCTCGCACAAACCACTTTGACATCTACTGCCCAACTAAAGTCAACATTTTCGCCACATTCTATCATATGATAAATTCCATTCTTCAAAGCATATTTAATCATAGCAGTGTTCATCTGATCTTCAAAAATGTTCATCGACTTGATTTGTTCAAACACTTTCTCACAAGCATGCCATAAGAGCTTATGTCCATTTTTTGGATCAACTGTAAACTCATGCTGTTCAGAACCATCTGATTTCAACCAATGAATTAGAGACTTGTGATAAACGGTCAAATAATCATCGTAAATTGGAAAAAATTGAGATAGCACTTCACGTATTTTAATATGATCTTTAAACTTCATGTCATCAGATAAACCTAAACATTGAAATAGAAAAGACAAAGGCAAAATACTTTGATAAGTCACCAAAACTTCAAGATATTCCGTAAAGCTTTTGTCGGAAATAACGGTTTCGTGTGTTGATAAAATTATTTCTTTCAATAATTTTTTCAATCTCTTGAATTGTTCCGTGTAAAATTTACTCAAACCAGTAAGAACCAATTGTTCAATATTCTCGACAGTTTGCTCAGTTTTTTCGTTGTTTAAACTCTCTTGTGCGTGGTAAGCGTACAGAAATGATCCCTCACATTTTTCAACTAATGACCATAGAACGTGGGGACCTTCCTGCACCCGATTATTCAACTGATGTCTCAAATACTTGCGCAGGTCTTCTTCGTTGTTTTCATCACTAGGATGAGTTGTAATTTCCACAGGATTCATGTCTTTCAACTCCTTTTGAACAGGAAGTTCTGGGCGACTGGTGATGAAGATTTTAATCCATTTAGGCAGTCGGTCAAACTCTTCAGCAATCAATTCCAACAATTCACTTTTGCCATCAACTTGGCTTTCATCTAAGGCATCAATAACCAAAAGCATTGGTTCATGATCTTCCAATAAATGCAATGGATTATTTAATAAAACAAGGAATTTATCGGTGATCGATTCGTGAGAATGGTTTCTCTGTAATTCTTCAGTCAGTTTACTTTTAAAATTTGATATTGTATCACACATGTTACTAGCCAATGATTCCATCAAAATTCGAGGATTTCTATACTCTGATCTATTATATCTGCAGAAATGAGAAGCAGCAAGTTTCTTCTTTTCAGAATATCGTCGACACACCTCAGTAGCAAACACACTTTTACCAACACCTGGACCGGCAATCAAAATCATGACATTAGCAGCATCTTCACTTCTATCGTTAAACCAAGTGTCGAGTTTTTCAAATAACCATTCTCTAGTACCTTCAAGGTATTTCTTGTTAAGATCTTTTATAAGACCGTTGAAATTACACTTTCCAAGTTTCTTCAGATCTGAACATGCTTTGACTTGCAACATGTCTTTTACTTCAGCTACATCAGCTTTTGTTGCCATCTCTTGTGTAATTTCAGCTACATCAGCTTTTGTTGACATTACTTGTGTAATTTCAGCTACATCAGCTTTTGTTGCCATCTCTTGTGTAATTTCAGCTACATCAGCTTTTGTTGCCATCTCTTGTGTAATTTCAGCTACATCAGCTTTTGTTGACATCACTTGTGTAATTTCAGCTACATCAGCTTTTGTTGCCATCTCTTGTGTAATTTCAGCTACATCAGCTTTGTTGACATCACTTGTGTAATTTCAGCTACATCAGCTTTTGTTGCCATCTCTTGTGTAATTTCAGCTACATCAGCTTTTGTTGCCATCTCTTGTGTAATTTCAGCTACATCAGCTTTTGTTGACATCACTTGTGTAATTTCAGCTACATCAGCTTTTGTTGCCATCTCTTGTGTAATTGTCAGCTACATCAGCTTTGTTGCCATCTCTTGTGTAATTTCAGCTACATCAGCTTTTGTTGACATCACTTGTGTAATTTCAGCTACATCAGCTTTGTTGACATCACTTGTGTAATTTCAGCTACATCAGCTTTTGTTGACATCTCTTGTAATTTCAGCTACATCAGCTTTTGTTGCCATCTCTTGTGTAATTTCAGCTACATCAGCTTTGTTGACATCACTTGTGTAATTTCAGCTACATCAGCTTTTGTTGACATCACTTGTGTAATTTCATCTACATCAGCTTTTGCTTTGCCATCTCTTGTGTAATTTCAGCTACATCAGCTTTTGTTGACATCACTTGTGTACTTTCAGCTACATCAGCTTTTGTTGCCATCTCTTTGTGTAACTTTCAGCCACATCAGCTTTTAATGTTACCCTTGTGTAATTTCAGCTACATCAGCTTCTTTTGTTGACATCACTTGTGTACTTTCAGCTACATCAGCTTTTGTTGCCATCTCTTTGTGTACTTTCAGCTATTATCAGCTTTTTGCTGACGCAATTTTTAATTTCTCAGCATCTGTAGACATCTTTGTTTAATATCTTCGACTGTATTTTTTATAGCCTGCAACTTTTTTAATTCCTTTTATATTTTCGTTGGTTTTCTCAGCAAACATCGATTAACTGTAGTTCTTCTTCATACCATCTTTTAACATTTCAAGATAATTTGTTTTCATGTACTGAGGGAGCTTTCTTTAATTCATCTATTTCAGTTTGTTGAATACCCAGACTAACCAATGCTTTTGAAATTTTTGCCACAAATACTCAAACTCACTATCGTCTACATTAGTTGTAGTCATGTGACCAAAAACTTGTTTCGATAAAACTTTATTCTTGCAATATTTGCTGAGATTGAAGTATTAAAACAGGAGGAAGATCATCCATCCACTATGTGGCTTGTTAGACTACATATGTTACGCATAAGACAATCAATAATGAAATATCAAAATTGCTGATTTCGGTGTACCATTTGAAGGGTAAAGAAGATCCATTGCCTTTGTTGACGACTTTTTCTTTTTTAATGATTCCAATTTCTTTCTGTGAAAACATCATTAAGTTTATCTTTTAAGTTTGATGATTGAAGCGCATAATGACTTGCAATGTTGTTTTAAGGCTCGGGTTCCTTTTATTAATTAAAAGTCACTAAACGAGATCCATTTTCGTCCATCTTTAATTTGTTAGGTTATGAAGCCATATTTTTATTCTAGAAATGAGGAATGAGTTTGTGAAAAAGGTATATTTAAAATGTACAAAATGTTCACAAAAGTTAAAGGATAAATTAAAAACAGTACTACAAGTCATTTATAAAGACTTGTAAGGCCATTTCTTTCTCTCGATAAAAAATTGTGTTCACTGCCCAGTGACATGACCCAGTATTACATCAAGGCATTAAAATAGTAGACTTGATACAATGAAAAACACTTAAAATGATATATTTTTCCAATCATATGAGAGGCAGCAAGTACTTGTGATAGTAACTCCTAGTTAATAAATAATATATCTTATTTTGTTCAACAATCGTGTGGTAAAGAGATACGTCGTTCTTTTTTAACAGGATATATCAAAATGGTTTGCGTTGTATGAATATTTGCTGATTAACATTTTGATAGGAATATATTGCTGATGATTCTGTTCAAATTTATACTTTTCTGACTGCAGTTTTAGCGTAACTGAAGCGCTTGTGAAAGCGGGCTCGTTTTGCTTGATTTTAATAGAGTTTGGGTCATGTCCAAGGTGTCCGCTAAACTGCAGTAGTTCCCCATAGGACCATAGCTTGACTTAATCATATATTTAAATTCTTCGCTATTTTTGACAATCTGTTAAATCCAAATCGTCATCATTACTAATTACAAAATAAAGAAAATTATCTCCTATCTCATTTACATTTTCCTTACCAAAACACGGAACACAGGGTGAGAGATAAATAACGTATTATATGAATAAAATAACAACAAAATAGAAGTACGGACTGCACTGAGTATCGCTCTTTGCATTTTGCCCAAACGAGATATATTTTGACTTCTGTAATCACCAGTAAAGCGTAAAAAATGAATGAGCATTTTTAGCTGCAAGCTTTTGACCATAGTCACTAAAATAAAGTGCAGATTATACGCTCTAAAGCATAGGCAATTGAAGAACAACATGAGTATTGACTTATTAGCAGTAGTTCACTTAACAATCTTTCGCTCATATGAAAATAGAATACAGCTCTAATTTTTCACGAAATTTAGTTTTCAATTCACTTAACTCGAGAATGCTCTAAAATGTGCGCATTTTGCCTCTTAGTCACGTTATTGTTAATAGCGTAAATTAAAGGAAGCAGTCGTGATCGTGCGGTGAGTTAACACATAAGATAAAATATACCAGCAGTAGAATATGATAAGATATCGTTGCATTTTATTTAAGTTTTACCATTTGCGCATGGACATGATTAAACGATTCCTCTCAGTGTTCGAGTTTCAGAAGCTAAAGTTTCAAACTACGAAATAGCAATCCATCACAGATGATTCACCATATGCTTATGAGCCGATTGAAACAGACTTCAAGACAGACGAAAGCCATGACGACTCGAGCCGTTGTAACACGAATGAAGATCAGCAATACTTGAGAATTCGCAGATACCCTGTTTTCTATCTGTTTAAATTATTAAATTATTCGCATGAAGAAATAAACAACACTGGCGGTTCAAGAGCGAAGAAGTGAATTTGAACATAAAGACAAAGACATGTGGTTATTAGTAAGTACCAATGATGGCGTTGAATGTATTAGCAAGGAAATTGCAGCACACTACCATCTGTTGTGCCAGCTGTACATTCGAAAGAAAATATTTCAATCACCGGTGTCTGAAGAGACTCGTTCATGAGGTTTTAAATCGCCGATTTAGCAATGGTAATGCAAATATTATAGCCATATTTATAAAAGTCAGTTAATGATGAATTATTAACAAATGTGTCGAAATTGGATTTAGTAAATGAATAATAAATAAATTATAATGGTTGTTAAACAATTCTTTTATTTAAAGAGGCAATATTTTGCGTTATTACTAGTGCTTTGTTAATGAATTGTGAGCAGCAAACAAAATTTTTGCTACTTTTACTATTAGAGATTCTCTTATTATTAATTATAAATATTGGTATATACATAACTGAGTTTAGATTGCTTATTCATTTTGATTTGTGTGTTAGAACACTTTGTTTGCTTTATAGATGCAATATTTTGAATAGCATGGTAAAGAATTACATATTTAAAATGAAGAGATAATTGCAAAAAGAATATGACTTACTCACCATACCGCCTACACCAATTTCTACTTTGGGAACACTCCATATTATATCACTTTTCCCTTCCTGCTTTCCATACATTGAACTTGTGCTGTTTTCTGCCAGTGCCACATTGTGGTCTACCGCAAACTTGGTTCTGGAAGCATACTCTTTATACCTAAAAGCACTTTTAATAAAGTACTTTCCTCCTTCCTCTTGTGCTTATGCGTTCCCAAAAGGGCTTGAAAATTTGGTAGCCGCTTTCAATTATGGTGAGTAAGTCATATTCTTTGTGCAAGGTATGATGGAAGATGTCTGCTGTTTTAATGTAAAATGTACATAACAAGATTTCTTTACCAGCAAACATTCCAAGAAATATTGACCAGAAAGCCAACAAAGAAAGTGTTTTACAAGCACACAAATCAAGAATGGGTAAACAGTCCCCAAAAAATAGTTATGTATATATCAATATTTATAATTAATAATAAGAGACTCTCTAATAGTAAAGTAGCACAATTTTTTGTTTTGCTATGCAAATTCATTAGCAAAGGCACTTTTTAATTATGTACACCAAAATCCTTGCATAGCACAAATAAAGAATTGGTTTGGCTTGGCCATTATAATTTGTATTTATTGTTCATTTACTAAATCCAATTTATATTTTTATTTATTAATAATTCATCATTAACGATACTTATAAATATGGCTATAATAGTTTACATTACCATTATTCATCAGCGAATTTAAAACCCTCATAGACAAAGTCCTCTTCTAGACCTGGTGGTTGAAATGTGCTCGAATGAAGCACAGCAAAAGATGGTAGTGGTAATTAATTTCTTGCCCAATACATTCCAACACCATCGAACCAGTTGCCTGTAAGCCACATGTCTTTGTCTTTTGTGTTCAGGTCCTTCTTCAGTTCTTGAACCATAGTGTTGTTTGTACTCACCCATGCCAGTCGAATACCCAATAATTTAAACAAAGATTTCGAAAACAGGATTATCTGTAATACAGTCCGGAGTATCTATTCCTCAAATTGTGCTGAGTCTTCATTCATTGTTACAACAGCTGAACTTCGTCGGAGTCGTCCATAGGCTCGTCGCTAGAGTCTGTTTCAATCGGCCTAAGCATATGGTTGAATCATGTTTTGATCGTTAATCATTTCTTCGTAGTTTGAAACACTGCTTCCATAATTACTAGAGGAATCGTTTGAGTAATCCGTATCCATTGCAAAAATAATTTAAAACTTAGAAAATAAAATGCAACGATGAATATGCTTATGCGTAATTTCTACTTTGCTAGTATATTTTGTCTTATGTTGACAACGATCACCGCGCAGTGACGTCACGACGAAAAACCGCTGCTGGACTGCGGCTTCGCTTGCATGTACACAATGGCGATCGAAAAATACACACATTTAAGGCAGTATTTCTCGAGTTAAATTTGAATTGGAAACCTAGGATTTCGCGAGAGAGGTAAGAACAATATATACTTTCATATGAGCGAAAGTTGTGTCAAGGTCAGACTACCCCTTTAAAACAATTCTATTCGTGATCGTTCGCATATGCGACTATCACCGATGACACAGCCAAGGATATCACGACGAACAAACACTGCCTGCCTCATTGCCTCCCTCAGACTTTTTTTCAGTATGGAATAGTGATTAGCGGCGCAAGCACAGCGGCTACCCACAAAAACTAACTAGTGATAAATTATATTTTTGTTATAATACAGTATAACTTGACGTCTACAACTGCTCCCCAAATTTCACATCCTAGCCACATGCCTGCTCATATTGATAACACATAAAGCGTGATTCCGTTTGAAGATGCTACAAGAATTTCTAAAAACTTAACAATTGATGAATATCTTCTGCATGATGAGATAACGTAAGAAAAGTACAAAGAATAACCAAATCATTCATTACTTTTTCTATAAACTTCAATTTTGCAATTTTCATGGGTCCAAATGGGGAGGCGCCGGCCCCTATTATATTACTGACACAAGGCAAAATGCCCCCTTGCCTAGGCCTGACAGTCAGTGAAATATCTCGACTATGTGTTGTTACACGATTTAATTCAAGTAACTAAACAAGTTAAACACGTTCGAAAACAAAACAAGTATCTTGATTTATGTTTCTCAGTGTACATGCTAAATCAAAGTTCATCTAAGACTAAATTACGTGCAAAGTGAATGATGATGAAATATGTACGTTATCTGACGTTCACTTTGACCACTTGAACGTAATCTTTACTTTACATTTATACATTGTATTGTTTACTAAAAAGTAATTATATTAAAAAATAATGATTGATGATAAAATATATACGTTATCATGAGTTCATTTTGACCCCTGGAACCTAATCTTTACTTCACATTTGTACATTGTACTGTTAACTTAAGTTTAATTTATATTAAAAAAATGTCACATGACGTGGCATGTGTGAATGTCAAGCGTATCACTGACTCAGAAGTATTTATTATTAAACCTTTCCTTCGTGTAAGAGCCGCAATTTTTATAGTGATAACTTGAAACAAACAATGAAACCTGCTTTCCAGTCGTTGTATTAAATATAGCTTTAAAAGTCACTTATAGAATCATTCAAACGATTTTCATTTGGAATGGAAATACACATGTGTTTGTTTATAGTTATACTTCATACTACGCAATGTTTCGTTATCAAATTTGTTAAGTTAGAAATGTAAATACAAAATCTCAGTTAACTTTCGTAAAATTACCTTTGTTTTAGAAATAAGACTTCATATACGACGATCATGTGGACAAAATTATGCTTGCTTTAGTTCTTTACATGTTACGTACCTAACAAAAGAAATTTAATATAAAAAACGCGACTACATACATATCAGTTAAAAATGGTGATCATAATTCATACATTATTGAAACATCAACTTTTTATCCATATAAATTTTGTTACATAAACACATTTAAATAACGAACGAAGATGAAGAGTGAGTGAGGATCTCCTTCAACAAACAGTATTATTCTATAACTAAGTATACATCACTGACTAAAAAGAACTGTTACAGAAATAAAAATACATAAATAAGAACCTCATGCAGAGTACATGTTAACATTGAGATTAGTCAAATTCCAAAGAAAAATTGTTAAATAATATAAAGTTTAACAAGTTTCAACTCAAGAATAAAGGGATCGCCTATCTAAAGTAGGATTTGAATGTGAATGATTAAGACACATTGTTTGAAACTTTAAATGGATTTTTTTACTTCGTTAATCAAAAATTCCATACATGTATATTATTGCAAAAGTTAGTTCATATTATAAAGAAGACCTTTGTTATTGAATAACCCATTGTAAATTATCAATACATTTTAATTATCAACTGCACGCAATTGTAATTACTAATGATCAATAAAAAACACTATACATATAACAGTAAAGGATGCAATGAAAGTAAACCTTAACACTGTTAAACTAGCATATGATCAAAAGTATAGTTTTGAAAGCTCACTGTGTTGCATAATTCCACATTTCACAAAAAATAGATTTGGTAGCGTTCTTCCTCTGTGTGTAAATAAATTCTTTCTGTGTTTAAAGTGCCCATGACATGTTTTCAAAAATATGATATTATAATAGTTTAGATGATTTTAAGAAGGTTTTCAATATACTTATAATTGAAAAATTTCATCTTCACGGACTTTGAGCACCTTGAATTTGCGGATTTTTAATATTTCTTCCTATTGACCGTGAGTATAAAAAGACTGGTAACAACAATGTAACTAATTGCATGTGTGACGTCACATCGGGAACACACTTGTGCTATTCGGTAACGTTTGTCTTAAAGCACCACAAAAAATATATTTTTTTAATACGTTTGCGAAAGAATTTTTTCGTGAAAATGCCACACAGATGTGTCGTGTTTGGATGTTCAAACACGTCAAATTTGAAGAAGGGGATTGCTCTCCATAGAATCCCATATGCGAATGACAAAAGATGTAATGTAATGGTGACATAAATAAAATTGTAGATTTTTGTTTAGTGCAGGTATGTAAAAATAATTTGAGATTACCTTTTCCAAAGCACTGATAATTTTTTTATACATTGTTGGATTCTTTTACCACTCTTAGAGAAATGAAGCTGGTAACAGCCCAGCAATGGAGTATCTAGCTTTCACAAAGGCACTGGAGAGGCTTTTAAAAGATGGCTTGAATGTGACAACTTTTATTTCGGATCGTCACACATCTATTTCAAAACACATGAAGGAGAAGCTTCCTAAAATTACCCACTACTTTGACTTGTGGCACTTGGCAAAAAGTAAGTAATAACTGTGTTTAGTGTTCTATGTGATTGGCTTAGCTTTAAAAGCGTTTACATTCTTTTTCTTATTTGTAAATCAGAAGTCAATAAAATTCTTAAAAAAATTGCGAAAGAGAAAGGTTGTCAGGAGCTTCTTCCTTGGGTGAAGCCATGTGTGAATCATTTGTATTGGAGTGCAATGTCAACTGAAGATGGTGATGGACAGGTCATATGGGCTAAGTTTTCATCATTCTTGGAACACATGGCCAAGGTTCATTCAAATCTTCCCAATCCCATTTTCAATGCCTGTGCTCATGGTGATGACATTGAGGAAAGGATGTGGCTTAATAAAGGTAAGACATTTGTATAGTGAACATAATTTGTGCTTAAAATGCTTTAGACGTGATGATGCAAGATACATTTATTTAAATTTTCTAGAGTCAGTTGTGTATGAGAAAACACAAGCTGCTCTTTTGAATAGCAATCTGAAAAGGGGTATCTCCCAAGTGTCACCACTTTCACAGACCAGCTGCCTGGAAGGTTTCCACTCAGTGTTAAACCATTTTTCTCCAAAAATGATTTCATACTCGTTTGCAGGGATGTATTGCAGGTACACAAGTAAATTAAGGCCAAATGAAAAAATAAATAATTTATACTTTGATTTTTACCTATCTAGACACATTTTGGCTGTTTTGCATTTTAACAATAACTTGAGGAGAGATGAGGTGATTGTGAAAGATAAGAAACAAGTTAAAGTGGTGTACCCTAAATTTAAAGTTAGAGTTCATCAAATTTTTGGTGAGATATGATTTCAATGACAACTTGTGTACGCAAGCACAGTTACAACAGACACTCATAGATGTTCAAAACACAATTTCTGTTCTTAAAATTGAACATCTGTGTGTAGATTATATTGATGAACTTTATCACACAATGATGAAGGCTACCAAAAAGCAATTTGAAAAGGCATCTGAAGAGTTGTCAAATATGTCTCCTGCACCAATGCATACAATGTTTGAGAGACAATCAAGAGCAAAGGCCATTAAAAAGAAGATCAACCGCCAGAAAATGGTAGTTGAAAATGTACCACCCACCAATGGTATGACTAAGACATTCTTTATTTAATACTTAAACTTATTGTCTACATGTCAATCACAAAAAATATAACATTTTAGTCCAACCAACAGTGTCAAATAACATCACCAGTGAAGAAAGAACTCGTCCACACTTCCAAGCATGTGGGAAAGCAATGAAAGGCCATCAATATGTCCTTGACTGTCCACGGAACAAGAATCCAAAATGAGGGTGAATATTGGCATACAAATACTAATTTATTCATCCTCAAGTTCATCATCATCATAACCTTGGAAATCTTTTCCAGGAAATTGAGTCCTTATTGAATGATAGGCACAAGCAGGCAGTGGTATCCTTTTCCTTCCTAAGTAACCATGCACCAGCTGGGTAAACTCTCGATAGGCAACACTTCTTAAATACCTATATTTACAAATTAAACAAATGTTTGTTTCACAATAATTAAATTTAACATAAGATGAAAGCACATAGGTATGTACGTACCTGTTCTCATCATCATGTTTCGCATATTTTCTTCCATCTATTTTCCTGAATTTTGGGCCTGCCATTCAATGACCAAATATCCAGACACACTGAATTGAATGCTGGATGAAGTGTAATACATTTAGGAACAACTTTCATTTCACCCAGCACCATTTCACTGTTTAAGGACTCTATGCATTCGTCAAGTTCTTGGCAACACTGACTCTCTTTTTCATTTTGAAGCATATTAGTCCTGCAATTACCACAAATGCACCTACAAATACAAAGAGCATGCATTTGTTCATGTTGTAATACAACTTGTAGTTTGAATTGATAATGTGAACAAAGAACGCTGCGCGACTGAGATAACGCTCATTGACTTCGCGTGAAGTGAATTATGGCCCTAACTTGTAAATATTTTAACAAATAAATCTACTCACCACTGCTCCAAAGGCACACGAATGTTGAATCTATCAAGCAGTGTTTCCGAAAAAAATTGACGTTCACGTAATCCGTCATGATAATTTTGAACCCATTCTTCATCAGCAACAGGCTCATCTTGATATGGCAACATTTGTGATTCAATGAAATGTTCAGACGCATCAATAGAGTCACTTAGGTGATCGACGATAACCAAACTTTCTTCGGCTCCCATCATGTACTTTGAAATCGAATCATTATCTGAATCATTTAGACTCTCAATTGAAAGCGAAGAGCTCGAAGACATCTTTAATTTTCAGGCTAATATAAAATTTAAAACTTATGGTTCTACTCAGAGTGTAATAAAATTGCGAATTTATAGCTGTGTCTTTAGTATAGTATTATGTCTTGTGTTTGATCGAGAAAAGCACTCAAAAGCGTGTTCCCGATTTGACGTCAGATCCGGCGTTATTTGTTTTTCTCGCCCTAGGCCTTTTGACATCACGAACAATCAAAAAATAACCAACTTTAAGGCATCCAAAGTCCATGAAGATGAAACTTTTCAATTATAAAATATATTTCAAATGTTCTAAAAATAATCTAAACTATCATAATATTGTGTTTTTGAAAACATGTCATGTGCACTTTAACATTTGCTTATTTTTCAAATTTTTACAGATGCCAATTTTTCCATAGACAAGTATAGTTTATAAAGAAAAATTCAGCGTCCTACATGTAGAAAATGTTCTCACGTTACTTCTCCTTTACCATGCAGCTTATTGTCAATAGTTAGAAAGTTGGTATATCAACTTAAATATGATTTCTCTTGAATGTTTAGTCATACATTATCGAGATGCTTTAGTAGCAAATTTTTTATATCAAGTTAGTAATATAGTTTCAGAATCTCGTTTTACTTTTGACAAATTAACTTCGTTTTAGAAATAATAGATTTGGTGGCGTTCTTCCTCTGTGTAAATACATTCTTCCTGTGTGTAACAATTTCTTATTTTGCCAATTTCCTTACTTTCAAATAAATGGTTTGTTCAATACAATCATCAACTATTTCAAGACACAGAGTTTAATCAAAAGTGGCGTCAGCAAAGAAGGGAGGTGATGTATAATTGTATATGTCCCCCCCTCTACATAAATTTTCATGTATTCCCATTATTTCTATAGACAAGTATAGTTTGTATAACTCCCGCACCATAAAAGTTCAGGCACCCACACGCAGTGGCGTAGCTAGCGGTCCCGCTACTCCCGCCCGGCGGGAGTAGAAATTTCCCAAAAAAATAATAAATATTCTATTTGGACATAAGATATACATTATTTCACGAACAATTTGTAATATTATGTTTTATTCGTTCATATTTACGCTTTTATTAGGTGGTTCGTAATCGTAATACAGCAAAATCTCAAGATTTGTTATGTAACCTAGCAACCGCCTTTTCTCGCACATTGCATACTCGCGCGATTCTCCACGTATTCCGCCCATCTTCAGAGGGCGGAACATACAATATAATTCTATATAAGAAGTTTTGAATTCTGGTTGGCTAAGGGACTTGACGCATGCTCAAATCTGCTGTTTTATAGTCGAACTCCCGCTATTTTAAATTGGCGGAGGTTGTAATTATTCGACCTTTTAATACGAGTACAGCGATTAGTGATTATCAAATTACGTGTCATTGTCGGTATTAATTTTCCATTGTGTTTACTCAAATTGCTATTTTGTATTTGTGTATGACACAATGGCTTCAAGTGCGACTGCGATTTGCTCAACTGATGTTGATTTAGTAAATAGCTTATTAGCTAAACCGTTCTCTGCTCGATCGTCGGTCGAACAGAATGTTATCGTTCATGAACGGCCTACTCCTGATTTAACTATCCAAAATAAGGGAAGAGCATTTCAGAGAGATTGGTATGAGGCGAAGGACTGGCTGTGTGGCAGTACAACCTTGCAGAAAGTGTTTTGTTGGCCATGTCTAATGTTTTCCCCAAAACATCGCCATCGTGGACTAAGAATGGCTACAACGATATGCGGAGTATTATGTCTGATGCTAAGAAGCATGAAAAATCTAAATCGCATTTGACTGCATTTAAGACATGGAAAACGTATGGAGCTAGTGAACGAATTGATTGTCTTATGTCCCTCGCTAGAAGAAATGAGATTCAGCGTCACAATGAGGAGGTAAGACAAAATCGAGAAATTTTAAAACTGTTACTGAGGCCGTGCTGTATTTGTCAAAGCAAGAGTTGCCATTTAGAGGTCACAATGAGTCCGAAGGTAGCTTGAACAAAGGTAATTATAGAGAGTTGCTCGAATGTTTTGCTAAGTTTGATTCTGTATTTGAGCGTCGACTGCACAGTAGACTAGCAGAATCTGATATAGTTGGTGACAGAAGATTTACTGGAGTCTCCCCAGAAATTCAAAATGGTCTTATCAGCTGTCTTGATTCAATTATTGAAGATGAAATCAGAAAGGAAATAAATGATTGCACATTTATGAGTATTCAGGTTGATGAAGCATCTGATGTCTCCACCAAAGAGCAGCTAAGTGTTATTGCTCGGTTTGACAAAGCAAGTGAAATTATGGAGAGGCAATTAGGATTTGTGGATGTAAGTATGAACAGAAATGCCACAGCAATATCACAAGTTGTCAAAGATAAACTTGGTGAGTATTCTAATATAAAAGAAAAACTGGTTTTACAAACATATGATGGTGCTTCTGTCATGTCTGGCCATATCAATGGTGTTCAAGCATTGGTTCGACAAGAGTATCCTTTGCTCATTTTGTTCATTGTGCAGCTCATAGATTGAACCTGGTCCTATGCCAGTCAGCCTCATCAATTTCTCCTGTTAAAATCTTTTTATTAATATAGCTACATTCAGCACATTTACAAGCAATGCCCCAAAAGAAAAGCTTTTCTCACATCTAACAACCTTGAGTTTCCTGCCCTGGTGAAACAAGATGGTATTATCGCTCTAGATTAATCAATGTATTGCACAAAACTATGAAAAACTTTTAGATATTTTGAGGGGTACTTGAACAACCAGCTGGGTGGGATGATGAGTCATTAAGTAAAATAAGTGGCTTACTGCATTATCTTGATAGCTTTCTATTTTGTTTTCTAGTGTGTGTTTTTTACAGGATTTTACAACAGTCCACAATTTTGTATTCCATTCTTCAAAATAGGGAAACATTTTAACTATGGCATAAGCAAGATTGACAATTTCAAGCAGTTTATTGTGTCACTCAAGACAGATCAAGCTTTCACCGAGTTTTACCAAACTGCACTAGAAAGTAGGCCCACCAGCAACCAGAGCAGATAGTAGATACAATTACAAACAGCTTTATTTTGAGATTATTGATTCATTAAAGGCATGTTAAGTGAACGATTTCAAGATATTAATCAGTTCGAGTTTTAGACCTTGTAAATCCTAAACTATTTACTACATGGAAGGGCATAGTTCCACAGGAGAAGATCAATCTTCTCAAAGATAAGTATAGTCCTCTTTTGACATCCAAACTTTGAGAGTCAACTTTCCTTCATTTACAACGACAAGGACTTTCACAAAGAGTGCAGTAATGAGGTTCTTAAATACATCTTCAAATTTAATCTCCAGTCGAGTTTAGGTCAAGTGGTAAATTTGTTAAAATTGAATGGTGTGTTGGCAGTGGCAAGTGCTTCAGTAGAGAGGTCGTTTTCTTGCTTAAAAGGGTAAAAAGCTATTTAAGAAATAGAATGGGTCAAGGTCGGCTTAGCTCTTTGTGTAGAATATCTATTCACAAAGATATCATTGAAAAGAAAGAGGAATCAGAGGTGTTGCATAACGAGGTGGTTGAAAATTTGTAGAAAACCCAGGAGGCTGGCCTTTCTTTATAAATGATGAGTATAGTATGTGTTTTGATATTTGTTCGTATAATACATGGTACTTCATTGAGAAAATTAAGCATAACTTTAAAGAATAAAGATCCCTGTCTACTTGCCCCAATCTAAACAAGTTTAAACTAACAAGTAGAATGCTAAGAAAATCTCTCTATGCACTTTAGAAGTGTCGTATACTATATTATTTTTTGCTAATACAAATTTCTTCTGTTTATGCAGGGCAGTGATGAGTAAATTATGTTTTAGGGGACAATTGTCTCCTGCGTAACGTTTCTCTGAGCCACCTTTAGTACCTTTTAACTAGTTGCAGTTTCAACGATTGCCACATTAAGAATGCAGCTAACAAAAATGGTTTTATAAATTATTGTACAACAAATAATTGCCCTCGAAATCGCAGGAAATGCTGTTTCCAAGGCTCTGATTTCAAATTTTCCGGGGAGAATGCCCTGACCCCTAGTGGGTCAGCCCGGCGCGAGATGGATTGGCGGGAGTGACTATTTTTCCTACCTACGCCACTGCCCACACGCAAGGTTTGGTATTATTGATAGTAGATGTCAACTAGATACATACAGAAAATGTACTTAGAATTAGATAGGAAATGAACAAACAACAAAAAAACAACGGAATATAAGTAAAGTATCATTACCGATTGTTCCCGTTTATATCCAGATCGCAATGATTCGTATATTTTCGATAAAGAGTTAGAAGTACTAATAGATTACGCGTTCTTAAGTTTACATTAACAACAGTATTGTTTGAATTTTGGGGGATTGGCACTAGTGTCAGTTACAGTTTATAAAGAAAAATTCAACATCCTACACAAAGAAAATACTCTCTTGTTATTCCGCCTTCCCCTATACTTTTGAACAAATTTTACTGTTCTTTACCATGCAGCTTATGGTCAATAGTTAAAAAGTTGAAATATAAACTTAGGTATGATTTCTCATGCATGTTTATTCATACTTCATCTAGATGCTTCTTTGGCAATTTGTTAAGTCGGTAATGCAGATAAAATCTCGCTTTACTTTTGTAAAATTACCTTTGTTTTACAAGTAACACTTCATATATGACAACCTCGTCGACCAAATTATGCTTGCTTTAGTTCTTTACATGTCACATACCTAACAAAAAATGAGAGATTTAATATAAAGAACGCGACCATATACATATCAGTCTAAAAATGGTGATCATAGTTCAAACCTTATTGTAACATCAATAATGTTCATTTGTTGAATGTGACAATGTGAGCAAAATAAGCTGTTCGTCAAAATCAAACTGATTTTCTAATTTCATGCAGCAAATGTTTAAAAATCTATCAAATGCCATCAAACAAAGCGATTGACACAAGTTGCTGTCCAAAGATAAAAACCGCACTTTTATTCAAAACAAATAAATATCTTATGTGTAAGAAATCCAAGCGTTTTTCTTTCTAACTTGATTCCTCTTTGATGATAAAATCCTGTGATTCTTGAAATCAGTGAATTAGTCGACTTCCATGTCAGGCATTTTTATACGAATTAAAGGATCATCAAAAAATGCAAAACACCAAAAGAAAAGGAAAACGTACAGTTTTTATGACAACGTGAACTGGCTTAAAAATTTTATCAATTTAAATAAATTTAATTGTGCATTATCATGAGAGTACTGCGTGTGCGATTGCATTTTAAATCTATTTTTACTCATCACTGTGGTAGTGTAAAATTGATGCAAATCGTTCGCGGTTGATATAAATATTATCCTATAGTCGTTTTGATAGGTAAACAGATCATTCGTGTTAACAAGATGATACGCAATTTACTAAACCAGGCATAAATATATATTATCGTATTTAAATATAAAACATAACGCCATTTAGCTTAAGCTTGAAACAATTGAGCTCCATAATAACTGGAGGGGGAAAGGGGCATGGACCCCGTGGTCAAAAACATGGCGGTAATGGCGGATTTTGGTTGTCAAAACCATTGAGTTCTATATACCTGGAGCGGCTAACTTTACTGGGGCGAGGACGCCAAAAAAATGGCGGCCAAAGGACGTATTTCCGCTGAAATGATCGCTTTGCAGAAAAATAATATTCTCGACCTCCCCTGGTGTCTATAGTAAATTATAAAGAATTTTCAAAACAACACGATATCACAGAATATGGATATCGTTAGTTCCATATTCTGTGACGATATCTTTTGGCATTTCTTTATAATGCCAACACTTCAATCGTTCAATTGTTGGATGTCGTAGTTTCCACAAAAGGAACATATCGCTTCACAGGTGAGGTAGTTGTTTGTTTTGTTAGTCCGTCAACGATTGAAAGCACTATACATGCACTTGAAAAGCCATAAATACATATTAAAGATCGTATTTTTAAGACTGACTTGAAGCCAAATATACTGATGTTTTCCTGTTTATGTTTATAAAATTTGCATACTTTTCTGTCATTTGTTAATGCATGAAATCGTAAATTTACCCATTTATTTGCTAAATAGTTTCCTAAAGCAAAAAGACCCTGCACACATTTTGCTCTGTGAGTAAGTATCAAAAGAAATGATCAGCCCCAACGGTACCCATGATTTGGAGCAGAGCTTGTTATGTTCTATTTGCTGACAACATGCAGGAAGATCAAGGAGTAAAGATGACTGGAAGATGTTATTGACCAGGCAGAGTCTTAAAAATGATAATGCTGTAAAGATAATTGATTTATTGTCTGCCCTATCCAGAGTTATTTAATTTGATCATGGGCAAATTCTATGGATGGAGATAATGGATTCACTAAGGATGCCTTGAATGCTTTGAAGTTAAAGTTCATGATCCAAAGAAAGATGGCAAGAAGGTTGTGTGTGTTTTGATGCTTAATGAAATGTCAATTCACAAACATGTAAAATGGAAGGCCATAAAGTTTGTGTCTATGTAAACATTTGTATGAGATTGATGATGACTCGATGCAGATGTGAAGCTTCAAACTGTATAAGCCATTGGGTTTTATATAACTTAATGTTTAAATCATGTCATATCTTTATCAAAATACTTTAGTTGAGTGTTGTTTAAATGTTACTAATATCTAATGCACTATACTGAAGCATTAAAGATTCAGTGATGAAACCTTTAAAGTTATTGTACTGTATATGTCTTATATATTTCTTATATTTTTTTAAGAAACAGTTTGAGCTTATTTACCTATTAGAGTACAGAATGGAGATTTATCATATTGCTGCTTTTTTAAAGAAAAGTTTTTCACTTTTCAAAGCTTTTCTACAAATTTTTGTTTATTTCTTGTCATGAGATTGATGATATAGAGGTAATATAATCCAATAACTTTCTAATTTCTAAAAAGCTTTTAAGCTTCTAGCATAAAAGTACACTATAGGTATGTAATTCATTTGGTTTTATTGCCTTGCTATGACATATCTACTTGCACTTCATCATTCTTGTATGAACAAAACACCAGATGTGGATACTCAGAGAACAAAATGCACTACCAACTGCTTATGAAATTTATTATTGAGGTGAAAACTGTGTTAATCATTCAAATTATAGTGCACTTTTATTGCAAATATAGGAAAAACAAAACAAAGTGAAAAAGAAAGGTAGAAGTATTAAAACTACAAATGAATTATAAACACCATTGGAAGCATAAGTGTTTTGATGATTATTTGCATTTTGCCCAATTCATATATCAATACAACAAAATCAAATGTGCTACAACTTTACAAGTATTTGATGCAGTTGCACTTCAGAACATCACAAAAGGTTACTTAAAGTAATTTCTATACAATATTGTTTGTTTTCATTTACCAAACCTATGCAGACTTGAGTCTTTTGAAATTTCATATGAAACTCAATTACAGAAAATCCGTAAATATCCAGAGATTTAATATGTACTTTTTAAAGAAACAAGTAAAAATCCTACAATGGCGAAAGCCATTGCCCATTGCATGAAAAGAAGCAAAATAGCAATGATAACAAATAAGCTAACTTCTCTCTCGCGAACCGTGGAGATGAACTATGATATACTTTTTTGTATAGACTAAAGAGTTTAATCGATCAAACAAGTTTGACGCTGGTAACAAAACGACGCACATCTGCATTCATACATGTGTAGCCGACATATAGGTCTTTGTCGACGATAGTTATAAATACATCCTCGTAGGAGCAGATGACTGACTACCACAGTTGACTCGCTGTTATGAATTTAAGGTTTTACCTTGATTTTCATCAAAAAATTGCTTGCCGAATCCCAAATACACAAATACATTTTCCTCACTCTTTCTTAAGGAGGGAGTGGGAAATTGTGAAATTTTCGGAAAAGCGGTCAATTTCGGTAAATCTCAGCGGCAAAGGACGAAATCCGCCATTTTTTTGGCGTCATCAGATATCTCCGCGCTTTGAGATAGCTGCCCAGTTATTATAGAACTATCGGTTAGGTCTTCTGATGGAGAAAATTAACATTGAAGTCCTAATTTCGGACTTCATTACGATGTTGATGAAATAAAATAATGCTTCAGGTTTTTGCCAGACAATGAGGTAAATCTACCGTAAATAACGCATATTTTGTCAGCAATGCTTAGCTATGTTAGAAATAACAATGCGTTATCTTCACACCGTCAATGTTGTTGTTAATGCATAATCCTACGCACAATACTTCGTGTTTTCGGGATCAGTTTGATGAATTGGTGCACCGTTTTTCTGAATAGACGGGCAAATCTTAAATAAATGTTCAAAATGAGTTAGAAAGTTAGCTATTCAACGACTAAATCTCCATGGTATATTGTTTAGGCATGTAATTTTTTGTTTTTGCAGATTCTTGGAAGCTTATAAGTCATTATGAATGATAACGAATGAGTATCCATGAAGAAAATAGAATTAGAGAAGTTAAAAGCATCCAAATTCAGAAATTTATAATTACAGTTGTTAGGTCTGCTCGTCAATATTTTAGAAACTGATTAAATATTGACAATCCTGATCATTGGATGAATGAGAACTGTATTATTCTTACATTTAGTAATACGAATTAGTATTGTTTTTCTGATAATTTTCGTTGTTGTATTTAGGTGTATAAATTTAACATTGATATCGTAGATGAAGATTTTAGCATGTTGTATAATTGTTATTGTACAGTATTATTTATAACATTATACATGTATGTATGTCAAGAAGAACATACAATCTCAAAAATGCCAACCTTCTTGCACTATTTTCTGTGTCCTTACAAATTACAGTACCTATACCAATTTTACTAAGGAGTCTCAAACAAATCCTGGACAAACTTCTTGAGGGCCTCTTAAATACTTTGGACTTTTTCTTATCTTTGTATTATAGTGATGACTTAAAATAAAGTTTGAAAATTCTATTTGGTACAAAGAAATCATATAATTTAAAATTGTTGAAGACAGATGTCAATTTTACCAGATTGCCATTGTTATTCTTTTTAATAATATCGTACTTTCATAAGATTGATAAAGCTCTTAAGCTATCGTCAAAATTTCTCTGACATTCATTGCAATAATGCATTTTATGTGAATTTTATCATTCCGGGAATTGAAATCGCATGATTTTGTTAGATGATGCAGCATCATACTAGCTTCATGCATATTATATTTTTTCTGAGCAAATATTTTCAAGGTAGAGCAAATTTGGATATTAACAAAAGTAGTTTTGATGTATTGGCTCCGTTATTAGGTCAGGCACTCATTTACAGAAACACAAGTAGCCCATTTAAAATTTTAGCATAAAGCAAGCTTCATCATCATCATGATTGTCCATAATTCGTCAATTGTGCTCAGCGCCAGTTGTTTAAGACAGGTATTTTTTATTGTACGCAGATAACAAGAGTTCATTAATAATTCAGCACTGCATTTCTGATTACAGCTCTGTTCCAATATTTGCTTAATACTCAAGAAAATATTTGTCCTCCATTTTCTGAAGGTGGGTCCTCAGTTGAAACAAGGAGTTTTAAGATATGAAGAATCTCGATAGAAAGACCAGTTGAAAGTTTTGCCAAAAGCTCAGCAAGCGATTACAGCAACAAATAAGGTTGGATAAACATAACTTAAATTATATTCAGGAGTAGCATTCACAAAATATATACATCACATTATGCAGTTGATTAAAATAAACACTGAACACTTAGCGAACATCTTACTTTGTTATCAAAGTCATGAAATGTTTCCTTTTCGTTCATTATTTACATTCAGACAAACAGCTTAGTAGCATGTTTTAAAGATAATGCTTTTTGTGCTTGGCATTGATAATTTATATAATCGCAATTGTGGTTGTCAAATCCGGGTGTGCGATAAAAATTTTATTTAAAAACATGGCGGATTTTGGTTGTCAAAGTCAGCGGAAAGACGCGGGCTCATAAAATAAAATTTTATCGCACACCCGGATTTGACAACCACAATTGCGATTATATAAATTATCAATGCCAAGCACAAAAACTTTTAGAAATTTTATCTTTAAAACATGCTGCAAACTTGTTTGGTATACGGATGCTGAAGTAATGTCAGAAAATGAAACATTTCATGATTACGGTAAGCAACGTAAGATTGTTTACCATTTAAAGTGTTCAGTGTTTTGTTTTAAGTCAATACTTGAAGTGTGATGGCTTATATTTTGTGAATGTTTTTACTCCTAAGTTATAATTTAAGTTATGTTTATCCAGTCTTATTTTTTCTTTACTTAATCGCTTGCTAGACGAGGCAAAGCAACCAATTCTTATCGAGATATGCATATATTAAAACTCCTTGTTTCAACTGAGTTTACCTTAAAGAAATGGAGGATGATATTTTCTGAAAATATGAAGCAAATATTATGAACAGAGCTGTATTAAAATCAAATGAAGTGCAGGATTAATTAATGAACTCTTTGGTACATGTCGTACAATAAAAAATACCTTTCTTAAACAGCTATCCTGGACAATTTGATAGATTATGGACAATCATAATGATGGTGTGTAAAGGTTTGCTTTATGCTAAAAATTTTATAAATGCCATCTGGTGTTTCTGTAAATGAATTGTTTGTTATAGTAAACCGGTTAGTACATCAAAACCAAGATAAAAACTACTTTGTTCAATAATGTGCCAAATTATGCTCCTACCTTGAAATATTTGCTCAAGAAAAGCTTATCATGACATGCATGAAACATTAATTATAGTACTGCATCATCTGACAAAATCCATATGTTTTTCAATTCCAGGTGATTAAAAATTCACATAAGATGCATTGGTTGCAATGAAGTTGAATGTGGAAGAAGCAAAAATTGATAGCAAAGAACTCTTTATGTCTTTTGAAGAATTACGATATCATTTGAAAAAATAAGAGTGGCAATCTAGTAAAATAAGCGACATCTGTCTTCAACATGAGACTTTTCCAATTATGTATAGTTTCTTTGTACAAAATACTATTTTAGATAAACTTTATTTTTAAGTCATTCACTGATGTTTTTACCAAAAGATGAAAAGAAAAATTCAAAGGCATAATGTAGTATAGGTAATAGTAATTTGTAAGGACACAAGATAAAAGTAGTACAAGAAGGTTGGCATTTTGGAGAATTAATAAGTTCTTCTTGACATACATTACACAAGGCCATAATATTATAAATAATGTCTGTACAATAATAATTATACAACATGCTAAATATCTTCACCTACATTTTAATTATTTAAACAGATTTGCCTTCATGCAGCAATAAGAAAAGTGTTATGTCAGAGAAACCAATGCACTTTAATTTAAGAAATAGTATTTTCAATGGGAAATTAATGTAGTTCTGTTCAGTAGTAGATCCATGGTTGTCAATGACAATCCAGTTTCTAATATCTTGGTTCAAAACAGAACCAACAACATGATTATAGAATTCCCGAATTTCGTTCTTTTGCTCTCCTAGTTCAAGATATTTTCTTCATAAGTTCTCAGTCGATTTATCAGAATATCATAATACCTTATAAGACACCCAGAATCAATCCTACCAAAAAAAACTCAAAAAAATTACATACCTACTTATAATATATTTCCAGTCGACTTAAGTCGTAGGGGTAAGCTAACTTTTTCTAACTCCTTTTTGGACATTTTAAGTAAGATTTACCCATCTATTCAAGAAAGACAGTTGCACCAAGCTGTTCACAAACAGTCAAAAACACAAGCAATGCGCATGGGATTATGCATTAAAGCTTAACGATACATTGACAGCGTAAAGAATGCCGTTTGATATTTATTTCTAATATAGCTAAAGCATTACTTGACAAAATATACGTTATTTTACAGTAGATTTACCTCATTTAAATGTGTGTGTCTATTTCACAAAAACCTGAAGCATTATTTTCAATATTTTATGCTTACGGTATCGTGGTTGTTTCGCTGGTTGTCATTAATACAAGCAGGAATAAAGATCCGGATTCAGGAGGGAGCGAATGTTAAAAATTTTTCTCAAAGTGGAAGTTTTGACAACTAAAATCCGCCATTGCCGCCATGTTTTTGACCACGGGGTCCAGGCCCCTCTGCCCCTTCAGGTCTTATAGAGCTCAATGGTTGAAACACACTAGGCAGTTGCTTCAGTCGCGCCTCCAAAGCGAATTGATGCGCACGCGTCAGTCGCTTGACAGCCAGAAACACACATGCAGGGACCATCGCGACATTTACCGTGGCGTCTATTGAACATGGCGGAGATTTCTGTTTGTTACAGACACAGACATAACTTAAACATTATATTTTGGCTTTTATTATAGCTAGTAATATATGAATATTTACTCAGTACAAACTACTATGTGGAGAAAAGAGAACAAGCCAGTTAAAACACGCCAATATGATCATAGCCCATTACGCGTATATCGTGGACAATCTTATTCTGTGCATTTAGGTTGTGCATTAGGGTTCCAGTTTGTAGCTCCTATTGTCCCTATTTGATAAGTAATATAAAAACTGAAAGATTCCAGTGTGAATTCACTATATATTGCCCTCGTTTTCCAAAGCATTATCTATAAATTCCGTATGATGCTTATGACAGGGAATATAATATGCATTTAGAAAATTAAAATGTATCGATTGGCCAATCAGTGTAAAGCGACCAAAGTCAAAAGTTCAACATGTTGAACTTTCAAAGCGACTAGATGACGTGACTACGCTACTAGCTTAGTAACCACGCAAAGCGGTAGTTTTAGGGCCTGTTTATATGGAGCCGAGTTACCCGGCTGAGCGAGTTACTCGCCTAGCCGGGTAAATCGGCCCTTATATAAAATGAATGCATTTCCCGGTGAATCGTTTATATGACACATCCGAGTAACTCGCCTTGCCGGGTAACTCGGCGAGGCGAGAAAATTGGCTCTGTTGGTACGCATGTGTACTAAGCCTTGTACTTGCAGCATTATTATACAAAAACATACACATATCATAATTTTCAATTTTATATTCACTCATTCCATTTTTGCTGCGAAACTGGGAGACCTTTTAAAATCTCGCGCCTTTACTCAAAGTTCCCATTGCCAAACTTCATTTAAGACAAATGAACGGAAGTACTAGCCGAGTTACCCGGTGCCATACAAATAGATCACTTTGTCAAACCAGGTTGAGCGAGTAACTCGCTCAGCCGGGTAACTCGGCTCCATATAAACAGGCCCTTAGACGAGAGACTAAAGCGACTGCCTAGTGTGTTTCAGCCTTTATAGTTTCGTTTAACGCTCATTTTTATTTTCTCGGAAGTTAGAATCATCTTGTAATGTATTAAATATAGTATAATATATGCTTTGTGTATCTGTGTATCTACTGAAAATGTGGATGCACAATCAATGAATCCAAGTGGACGAGTATTCTGCCATTTAGTCAAACCTTACATGTGTATCTGTGTATCTACTGAAAATGTGGATGAGCAGTCAATGAATCCAAGTGGACGAGTATTCTGCCATTTAGTCAAACCTTACATGTGTATCTGTGTATCTACTGAAAATGTGGATGAACAGTCAATGAATCCAAGTGAACGAGTATTCTGTCATTTAGTCAAACCTTACATGTGTATCTGTGTATCTACTGAAAATGTGCATGAACAGTCAATGAATCCAAGTGAACGAGTATTCTGTCATTTAGTCAAACCTTACATGTGTATCTGTGTATCTACTGAAAATGTGGATGAACAGTCAATGAATCCAAGTGAACGAGTATTCTGTCATTTAGTCAAACCTTGCATGTGTATCTGTGTATCTACTGAAAATGTGGATGAACAGTCAATGAATCCAAGTGAACGAGTATTCTGTCATTTAGTCAAACCTTACATGTGTATCTGTGTATCTACTGAAAATGTGGATGAACAGTCAATGAATCCAAGTGAACGAGTATTCTGTCATTTAGTCAAACCTTACATGTGTATCTGTGTATCTACTGAAAATGTGGATGAGCAGTCATTGAATCCAAGTGAACGAGTATTCTGCCATTTAGTCAAACCTTGCATGTGTATCTGTGTATCTACTGAAAATGTGGATGAACAGTCAATGAATCCAAGTGAACGAGTATTCTGTCATTTAGTCAAACCTTGCATGTGTATCTGTGTATCTACTGAAAATGTGGATGAACAGTCAATGAATCCAAGTGTACGAGTATTCTGCCATTTAGTCAAACCTTACATGTGTATCTGTGTATCTACTGAAAATGTGGATGAACGGTCAATAAATCCAAATGGACGAGTATTCTGTCATTTAATCAAACCTTACATGTGTATCTGTTTATCTTCTGAAAATGTGGATGAACAGTCAATGAATCCAAGTGGACGAGTATTCTGCCGTTTAGTCAAACCTTACATGTGTATCTGTGTATCTACTGAGAATGTGCATGAACAGTCAATGAATCCAAGTGAACGAGTATTCTGTCATTTAGTCAAACCTTACATGTGTATCTGTGTATCTACTGAAAATGTGGATGAACGGTCAATGAATCCGAGTGGACGAGTATTCTGCCATTAAGTCAAACCTTGCAATATAAGAGTGGCCAAACAATATTGCTTTAAAATCAATGTTTTACACAATTTTACTCACCAAATATGACCAAAACGACTATTTCTTCTTTTCCACACTTATTATTTCGTTCCACAACGTAGAGTCACAGTTTTATATTGAAATATTTCTTCAATTTTGTCTTTCTTCGTATTGTAATGTACACATCATTGAAATGTAAGGGATGGGCTCATCACGAGATCATTCTGATTCACTTCCGCACTTGTAACTGGATACAGCTGAAAAGTAGACAATAATCATGTTCATTGTTCATATATGGTTCTCACCAGATTTATGTTTTTACACAGACTATTAAAATAAATTACCAATGTAATTCCGAAAAATTATTAGAATAGAAAATTGGCCAAAATGTATCTAAATATCGATCCAAATGGCCATTTTTTATCACAGTTTGAGTTTCCAAACCAAAGATCAGCAGCTATAGTCAGACAATAGTTGGTACTACTTGAGTCAGTCATTTTCAAACGAATAAAAGGATAATTAAAAAAATACATAAATTATGTTGAATTCTTTGTGGCTATAACCATTTTGTGCTCATAAAAATTGGAAAAACTGAAAACAGCAAAAGAAATGAGCAACAGACAGTTTTTCTTTCAACGTGACCTGCTTGTCGTAAATTTTATCAATTTATCAATAATAATATGGACGATGTAAAACTTATCAGTATAAAATAGTATACGGGAAGAAATTTTCATAAATAATTAAAACAAGTGAAGTATCTTTCTCTTGCTGTAAGCATGAACATTACTAAAGAAGTAAGAGCATGGTAAAATGTGAACTATTTACGTTAAATTACGCACATGCATTTGTCATGGGAAGTTTAAAGCATTGAGTAGCTGAGGAAGACCTTCTTTCCAATCGTGGCAAAGAGGAAACTTTGTAATTTTATATTGTTGAATGTTTAGTATATATAGAGGCTGCAAACGCTGTTTCTGGTTGTTTCAATACGCATTTTTAATGGTCGCATTTTATCGACGCATTTGATTAATGCATTGTAACTCATTGAGTTGAAGTCTTGAAGAGACGAATTGGATAAGCATTTTTTGATTTTAATACTCGTGGTAATGAACCAACGTTTGTCGTCAAAAGAATCGTGATTTAGCATCCCGCACAACAGAAAGCTTAGGTTGTGCGACAATGGCACTATAAATCTATAATTACCTATCAATGTGGTAATGTATAATTGATGCAAATCGTTCGTGGTTGATTTAAATAATAAAATATAGTCGTTTTGGTTGATAAACAGATCATTTGTGTTTATATGATGAAACGCAATTTGATATACTTAGCATAAATATATATTATCGTGTTGTGCAATAGATGTCTACATCTATTGGACAACAGCACTATATAGCTTATAGTTTCGTTTCACGTTGATTTTTCTTTTCTCAGAAGTTAGAATCGTCTTATATACGGCATAATATCATCTGTGTATCTACTGAAAATGTGGATGAACAGTCAATGAATCCAAGTGGACGAGTATTATGCCATTTAGTCAAACCTTTGATACAATACAACGAGTAGCTAAACAATACGGCTTAAAAATCAATGTTTTACACAATTTTACTCACCAAATATGACCAAAGCGACTATTTCTTCATTCACACACTTATTTTTTCGTTTCACAACGTAGAGTCACAGTTTTATATTGAAATATTTCTTCAATTTTGCCTTTCTTCGTATTGTAATGTACACATCATTGAAATGCAAGGGATGGGCTCATCACGAGATCATTCTGATTCACTTCCGCACTTGTAGCTGGATACAGCTGAAAGGTAGACAATAATCATGTTCATTGTTCATATATGGTTCTCACCAGATTTACATTTTTTACAGAGACTTTACCAATAAATTACCAAAGAAGAGATCAGTTGCACGAAAGTCGAATAACGCTATCCATTAAACTGAGTAGCAACGTTTTTGAGCGCTTGAAAAATATCTTAAAAGGGAAAAATCAACAATTCGAACTGCACAATAAATGAAATACAATATTGGTTCTAGAATTACAAAGTTTCATCATCATAAACAAAATATAACCATGCACATTCACAAATTTAAAAAACTACTATCCAATGGATAACGCTATCCACGCTTCGTGCAACAGGCCCCAGTATAAATTTAAAAAAAATTTAAAGAGAATAAAAACCAAAAATTGTGCAAAAGGAAATGGCGAAACTATTTTTCCGAAATTCCAGGGTCAAAGATCAAGAGATGTATTGATGTAATAGGTACTAAGCACCGATCGGCATAACAGACCTTCATTTCTTATTGTCGTATTGTAAAGAATCTACGAAAATTTGACAAAACTTTTAGATTCAATAGATGATTAACTTCATTAAACTCCTTGAAAAATATGGGTATGTACCTCATACAGTTTTGATACATGGTTGGATACTCTTTTCTGTGATGATTTTTGTAAGTAATTTATAATAACTTCATAAAATAGGAAGTTTGATAAAGGCTTTAAAAATTAAATTAATGTCCTGTTTTTATAAAAGATCAAATTGTCTTCCGAGCATATTTTTTCTTACATTTATATAACAAGTAGCTCTTTCCCTTGAAAGAGACATCGTTCCTGCAAGTTCAATATAGTACGAGAATATTATTTATGAACTCTATGTTCTATCTGGTGTAGGTGACGTACAAGTCCAAGATTTTAAAACTTTACGGCAGGTTAATTTTAATGGAAGAATTCAAAAATTGTATCCACTCTGAAACACGAATTTTCCTTAACGAACAAAATCCTAAGACACTTAGTGAGCGGCCCGTCTTGCTGATAATTTTTCGCTTACTCATAAATTTGCAGTTAAAACTAACCCACATCCGTTTTCACAAAGAAACACTCAAAACACACTTGATGGAAAACAAACACATTCGTCACGATTTTCTTCGCGGTTTCCGAACAATTACGCACAAGGCAGACAAAACTTACAAGGCAACGGAAGTCAAACAAAACAAAATTTCCAAAGCATTGCAAAGGAAAGCAATATTAACCCGGTAATTCCCCATTTCGACAAGTAATTTGCGATTATTGCAAACGAAAAGGGCACAAAAAATCTGAATGTTATTTGTTGAAATCAAACCGACCACCATCAAGACCGACGGGAATTCTTTCAAGATCCGATCAAAATATAAACAACAAAAATAAATCTGTACACAACACCACTCGTAAGAATGCACAGGAGAATAAGAACAAAGCATTACCGCATGAAACACTACACCATAATATCACAACAACCAAGCACAAAGATTTCAGTGACAGTGATATGGAAACTTTTAAACCTTTTATTCATGATGGTAATGTCACAATCAACTCCAACCGTCAACCAGTTTACGTTCCAATTAAAATACTCCGAGATACAGGAGCTTCACAATCAGTAATATTGGGCAATACTTTGCCATTTTCCGTACAGTCATACTCAGGAAAGAATGTGTTAATTCGTGGCATAAGTTCCACTGAATACGAATCAATCCCCTTACACAATATTAAATTGCAATCTGATCTTATAAAAGGTGATGTTGTGATAGGTGTTATCAACACCTTGCCCTTTGCTGGAATTCATCTATTATTAGGCAACGATTTGGCAGGAGAAAAGGTACATGCAGGTCCGTTTTAAGCAACAAACCAGTTTTCACACAACAATCCAACCTCACTGAGCAAGTAATCCCTGATTTATATCCTTCATGTGCAATAACAAGAGCTTTAAAAAAACGACAAGAAGAAAGTCTTAAAAACACGGAAAATAATGACATGCAAATAGAAAACACGTTTCTTCACGATATTTTTGAAAACCAAAAACCTTCAAAAATTAGCTTTATAGAGCAAGGCAGTATATCTAAGTCAGATCTTATCGAGAAACAACAAAATGACCCCAACATTTCAACACTTTATCACAAGGCTTCGGAAGAAGCAGATGTCAAAAGCGATCCCGTTTGTTATTATATTAGGAATGGTTATTAGGAATGGTGTATTAATGAGGAAATGGCGACCACCACACACTTCGGTAAACGATGAATGGGCGTATCGATATCAGATAGTTGCACCTCAAGCATATCATCATGATATTCTTAGTCTAGCGCATGAAACCCCACTTTCAGGACATTTAGGGATAAATAAGACTTATAATAAAATCATAACACATTTTTATTGGCCAGGACTAAGGAAGGATGTTGCAGAGTTTTGTAAAACTTGCCATGTCTGTCAAGTAGTGGGTAAACCAAATCAAACTATTCCAAAAGCACCTTTACAGCCAATTCCAGCATTTGAAGAACCGTTCAGTCGAGTTCTCATTGATTGCGTAGGACCACTACCAAAAACCAAAAAGGGAAACGAATATCTATTAACTATTATGTGCGCTTCAACTAGATTTCCAGAAGCGATTCCTTTGCGAAATATTCGAGCTAAAACTATCGTACAAGCTTTGACCAAATTTTTTACGCTTGTTGGACTTCCAAAATCAATTCAGTCAGATCAAGGCTCAAATTTCATGTCTGGCTTATTCCAACCAGAGCCCTCTATTAGTAAGAGTTGGGACAAACGGTCTGGGGCGAGCGCGGAGCCGCCATTTTGGTTTCTACTTGCAAAGTTAAACTATAATAATACTATTGGAAATTGGGTTTATATGCAAAGGAAGAAGGCAATTTAAGCTTATTCCATGGTAGTATCAAATATATTAGGAATAATAGCAAGCTCTTTGCGTTTTTTTAACGATTTGCGGCAGACCTGATTTAATTTCATTGGTTTGAGCTTCGTTTGCGGTTTACTAGTTCGTGCTTCAAATTGATCGTGACCCATTGTAAGAAGTATTTTTCGTACGTGAACGTGTTTTCTCGGCTTAAGCTTGGTGGCAAGCGGCAATGTTATCCTGGCATCAGTGTTATCAAATACTTGGACAAGACTTTGTTCGAAACTTCGAATCATAGTAATTATGCAGTTTTGGTCCGGAGAGATTTGTGTTCAAGATTTGTAACAATTTAATGGTAGTGAGTGGTTTATGCCCCCCAATTTGATCCAAACATGACATTTTTTATTCTGAAAGATCACAAAATTTTCTTTCTCAGCAGAAAATGACAAACTTTACTTTTTAGTTATTGAAATATGCAATGATTTGACCTTAAACGATGAAAGATGCATTTGGCCTTAAACGTTTTATTCCTGTATATGAAGTTATTTCGCCTTTATCACTTTATAAAGTATTAAAGTTTATTTCTAATAAAGTTTGTTAGGGATTCTGCTGAAAATTTTGGTGAAGCATTTCTTTAAAATGAATGTATTATTTCTATAATATGAAACATTTCTGTTGTTGAAGAACAGTCTGTTTGCTATAAATGCTACTGTTTGTAGTCTTTTATACAGCATATGAGTCTGATCCAATCTTTAATTTAGCAAAGAGTTAAATTTATTGGTTGAGGAATGACAAAACTTCTATATGTGTTTAATGATCAAACAGGGGTGTGTTGGAGGGAGCTCAGCCCCGTTTGTTCAAATTCTATGCCTTGTATTGCCAGTGAAATATATATATCAAAAAGCTAGCAATATTTTAATTTATATGAGAAAGGCAGCAACAGTTGTAATATACATTAAAAAGCCCAAATAGCTGAAATTATGGAGATATGCCTCTGATCTTATAAACCAAAGCCTACAATTAAAATATCATCGACAAGTCTAGAAGAGAAGTAATGTTCTACTTTGAGCTACAGAAGTAGGGTACATTTGTACAATTCATTACCAAAAATATATTGTACTCAGCTGTTTCAGTGAATATCCTAATTATAATTACTTCGTTTTTAAATGATGAACTAAAAATAATAAATACAACATGGAAAATCATAAGAGTTTCTGTGATTTGGTGTAGTTGTTTCAGTGTGGAAGTGGCTGAGAATTGAGAGGTTTGTAGATTGACCAATTTCAGAACATAATGAGAAATCATCTTCGATTAAAAAACAAGCTTTGGAGTAAGAAAACTATTGAAACTGCATCAGCACGAACTTTTCAATGTTATTTGGCCCAAAAATGTTTCTCTACTTGAGTCAGTTAATTGAACCTTATATCAAAAGCAGTTCAGCACAACAATCACCATACGCAATCAAATTTCGTAAGTTCGACGAAAAGGCATTTCTTTAATTTTTTTCGTAATACTCGATTCTTGCGATATGTAATGACATTTAGTAGCCTTCAACAATCAGTTATTACACACTTATCCATAAAAAAACGCAATATTATCTCAAAATACTGTATTACTAGCAGCAATTGCTATATAAACACTAGCTGAAATTTCGAAACTAGGAACCAAAATGGCGGAAATTGATCAGGTGATCAATATTGCCCAATCAACGTAAGCTAAACGGATAACAATAGATGTCCCAACTCTTACTAATAGAGGGCTCTGATTCCAACAAGTTATGCATGAATTAAATATAACGCAATTCAAATCTAGTGCCTATCATCCGGAAAGTCAAGGAGCGTTAGAACGTTTTCATCAAACACTTAAGAATATGATTCGCATGTATTGTCAGGATAAAGAAAAGGATTGGGATGAAGGTGTTCATTTCCTTCTGTTTGCGGCTCGTGATTCCGTCCAAGAATCGTTAGGTTTCACCCCATTTGAACTTGTTTTCGGACACACGGTCAGAGGACCACTCAAACTTCTCAAGGAGAAACTCTTAACTGAGGAAAATAATCCAACGAATTTATTAACTTATGTTTCAGATTTCCGAAATAAGTTGACCACTGCATGCGAAATTGCTCGAACAAACCTTGAATCAGCTCAAAATTGCATGAAAGAAAAATACGATAAAAATTCAATTACGTGGAATTTCAAGGTTGGCGACAAAGTACTTGCGATACTGAAAATACAGGAACACCTCTTTAGGCTACATATTATTGTCTGTATGTTATTGAGAAGAAAGTGAGTGATTTAAATTATGTCATCATAACTCCAGATAGGCGTAAGAAAAATCAGCTATGCCATGTAAATATGTTAAAGCCTTATTTCGATAGAAAAAGAGAAAGGAAGGAGAATGTAGGAAGTGTAGTAAGTAATGTATCTGAGGAAGAAATTTCATCTTTAACTGACACTGCGAGTAAGCTGAGCAACTCTGAAATCTTGAAGAATATTCCTTCCAAACTCACTCATCTTAATCCAACACAGAAAGCTGAAATAGAAAATCTCCTCAACCAACATCTCAAGTTATTTCCTGATGTGCCTTCCCGAAGTCACCTTATTGTACATGATGTGGATGTAGGCGATGCAGTACCTATAAAACAGCACCCATACCGTCTTAATCCTACAAAAGAAAAATACCTCAATAAAGAAATCGACTATCTACTCGAGCACGATTTAATTGAACCCAGCCACAGCAGTTGGTGTTCACCATGTATTTTGGTTCCCAAACCTGATGGCACTTATAGAATGTGCACGGAATATAGAAAAGTAAACACTGTTACTAAAACCGATACCTTTCCCATTCCACGTATGGATGATTGTGTTGACAAAATTGGTAATGCAAAGTTTGTTTCCAAATTCGATCTTCTAAAAGGATTTTGGCAGATACCATTGAGCGACAGAGCAAAAGAAATATCTGCATTCGTTACACCCAAGGGACTTTTTCAGTATAAAGTCATGCCATTTGGTATGAAAAACTCTCCAGCGACATTCCAACGTTTGATTAATCACATAATAATGGACATCAAAGGATGTGAAGCGTATATCGATGATGTAATTATCTATAGTGATACATGGGAAGAACATCTGAAAATAATGCGGCAGTTTTTTCGAAGGTTATGTGAGGCTCGTCTCACCATCAATCTTGCGAAAAGCGAATTTGGATGTGGTCACGTGACATATCTCGGACATGTAGTCGGACAAGGTCAAGTAAAACCAGTCAATGCTAAGGTCGAAGCGATCTCCAAATTTCCTCAGCCTACTTCAAAGAAACACTTAATGCGTTTTCTCGGCATGGCTGGATATTATAGAAAATTTTGCCCAAACTTTTCAACAATAACCGAACCGTTGACCAATTTGCTACGGAAAAATGTCAATTTTACTTGGACAACCGCATGCCAGAACGCTTTTGACCAGCTAAAAGCCCTATTACAACATTCCCCGGTTTTGTCCGCTCCAGATTTTCAACGCCCCTTCAAACTTGCTGTCGATGCAAGTGATGTTGCAGCAGGAGCAGTTTTGTTACAGGAAGACAAGGATGGTGTCGATCACCCGGTATGTTATTTTTCAAGAAAATTTAATACTCATCAACAAAATTACTCCACTATTGAAAAGGAATGTTTAGCTCTAATCTTGGCCCTACAACACTTTGATGTCTATGTTTCTTCATGTGGAAATCCTCTCGAAGTTTTTAGCGATCACAACCCTCTCGTTTTCATCAGTAAAATGAAGAACAAGAATCAACGTTTGCTCCGTTGGAGTCTATTATTATCCGAATTTAACCTTGTTATCAAACACATTAAAGGTAGAGACAACCTCATCGCTGACTGTCTCTCACGACCTTAGAACATTATTATCTTAAAGAAAGCTTTTTCAATCTTTCTTTTTTTTAAGGGGAAGGGTGTTACATGATAATCCATAATCATGTACATTATACTTATTATTGTTATATACTTAAATATTATTAGTTAACTAATTAGTAAAATGCCTTACTTATACATGCATGTGTATGTTAACCACAATAACAGGAAAAGCTTACGTATAGGACGTGGTCAACCTACTGACCACAGACAACGTACAGGATACATGGTTAATCAACTGACCACAGTTTACGCACAAGCGGTTAATCGTACGTCATTGTGCAATCACATATAAGCCGAGAATCGAAAGTTGTAGTTATGTTGGTGCTTAGTAGAAGTCCACATCAGAAGAAAGCTCATGTAAAAGAAAACGAACTATTTATGAAGATAACCAAAGAGTACAGATATATATCCTATCCATCAACGAAAGAGTCACTGAAAGTCTGAAAGCAGTTGTCTTAATTAAGTTTGAACATTTAAACATTTATATTATAACGATTATATCAAAATTGTTAGTATATTAAATAAATATCTTAAGAATTGACAACAACTTCTCCACAAGATTTTACTCCTTTTGTTACGAGCAATTGAACCAAAAGCGGCCATTTAATTATTAGTCGGGACGTTCGTAACAATATATATATATATATATATTGATAAAAAGAAGAAAATACACAAAAACTACAATTTCATCCCGACAAGCCTGTTTCGTGATTGCTCACTCTTCAGGGGATTTAATGAATAAAATACTTAAATGCTTAATATATATATACAAGATGATGACGGAAGTTAGTGTATTAATGAAGGTGTATAGTTTCAAGTTAGATGACGGAAGTTAGAGTATTAATTAAGGTGTATGATTACAAATTACATAGGAGTGTTTTGGATCTATGGCGACAAGAGGAAACAAGTTCGTTGCGTTTATTGAGGGATGATTTGGATGGTTGGTAGAGGATGAAGAATTTTTCTTTGAGGC